ATATATATTTGACTATTTTAAATAATAAAAACATCACATGAGAAAACAAAATATGATATATATATATATATATGTATATATATAATGTAATAAAAACATCACATGTAAACATCAAAGTTTTAAACCACACAATGAAATAATAGAATATCGCTAAAGTGAAACAAAATTAGTGTTGTTTGACAATGTAAAAGCAAAACAAAGTTGATGTGAAATGTGATGTGAACGTGATAGTGAAACGCTAAAGTGTTCTTTTATATTGTGAAACATCATAATGTCGTTAATGTCAAACAATAAAGTGTTGTTTCACAAGGTGAAACAATGTAGTGTTGTTTCGCAATTTAAAAATAAGACAAAACAAAAGTAGCGCGGTGGATGTGAAGAAGTAGGCCACTATCTCGGCGATAATGAGCCAAACTAGTATTTGCAGTGAATCCCCCTGTTAGGTAGTCATGCATTACGATAGGAACTCCTAATTCTATGAAAAATACAGTCTTTTTCATCATTTCTTCGCATGTACCCGCAGTAGCATTCAAGTAATACCCTTTGATTTCACCTGTTTCAGCTCGTGCTGTATAAATAGCTTTGGCAAAAAATAAGGTCTCTCCAATGCATAAATGGTTGGGAGTTCAATGTCTCATCATCTTTAGTAAATTCAAGGTCACCACGAAGACATCCATAAATAACTTTAGGTTGGTTTTTAGCGGTAACCCCAATTTAGGTTTAATAGTATATTCCAATAGGGGACAACCATACTTTACATTGTGTTGTTTTATATTATGAAACAACACAATGTTTCACATGTGTAAACAATGCAGTGTTGTTTCATCAAGTGAAAAAAATAAAAAATTATGTGAAATGTGATGTGAAATACTAAAATGTCGTTTCACAAGGTGAAATAGCATACGGGTTAAATTGCTTTTATTGTTTCATGTAAAAATTGTAATTATTAAAAAAAATGTAAAAAAAATAACAATATTCGTGTTAAATTAAAGAAGATAAAACATTTATTTTGCTTTTTTATATAATTTTTTTGATTAAAAAATTTATTGTAATTAATATATTTTTAACTTAAAATTTTATTATAATTAATATAATCTTGATAGCCGTTATTGTTTACAATAAATTGGATGTCCAATGATTAGAATGCTTTTTTCAACTTTAATTAACTAATAATTAGTTTTAACTTTTTTTTATTAACCTGGATATTCAACCCGATATGCGAGCCGACGAATCCCAGAGCAACCAACTACTTTGCAAATGGTCTGGGATCACCGCATTTGAACCTCCGTGGGCATAAGAGAATTTTTATTTCTCTTTGGATTTGAACCTGGGATCTCTTAGTACTTTTGGTATTTTGAGTCAAGCTCAAACCAATCAGGCACCACCCTTGTGGTTAATTAGTTTTAACTTTCAAAAGTATTACAAAAATATCATCATCTTTCATAATCGTAGATTAATTTCAATTAATAATTAAGATTGGTTCTCATGGTAGTCAACCTTCTTTTAGTTCTCACATTATTCAACCCTAGATACATACATATATATATATATATATACATACATACATATATATATATATATATACATACATATATATATATATATATACATATATATATATACATACATATATATATATAGAGAGAGAGAGAGAGATGGGGGAGCGATCAAATGCAAATCATTCATATTCGTACAAACCGTGCAAACCACTCTTATCCGTCGATTTTATTGTTCAATTTAATGATTTTGTTTAATAAAATTGTTTCATATAATACTTTTCTAGATGAATTTGTTTCATATATGGTTATGAGATTGTTTCATATAATACTTATGAAATTTTAATAAATTGTTTCATGTATTTCTTTAAAATTAATATAATGAAGATGATAATATCAATGATTAACACCTTCCATAACAAAAATGATTAATCAACCTCTCATAATTATAAAAAAAAATGTAAACTATGATTAGTTGAATGAGGTTTATATAATTTATACAAATAACATGGTTTACAAAGTAAACTTTTCTCTCCAATATATATTAAACAACTTTCTCTCTTTTTATATATAAAACATGTTTTAAATATGTAAGTTTCTTTGGACCCAATTCGGCCCTACGACTTTTTGGGTAAACCTCCTTTGGACATCTATATTACATGTCATAATCAACCATTTAATTCTTACCTTTTCAATATATTAATTAATATGAAAGGAAAAAAATAAGATTTAACAACAATAATTTATGTAGAAAAACTCATGAATTTTTTTATTTTAAATGATTAAGTTTTTAAAAAATTTATTAAAATAAATCATTTAACATTCTTATTTTAAATGATTAAATGTTTGAATTTTTTTTAATAAATAAATTATCTGACTTTTAAAAATTAGGTACCTGTATCTTCTTAACCCAAAAATATCTGCATGTAATGAACTATGAAAGATTTAAAGTAAAAAAAAAAAAACTTAAATCAGTTTTACCGTTCTCAAACCTTACATCATTCAACCAATCAACGCACCCAACACTGTTGCTCTTCTTCACCACCTTTTGGAACCACATCATCACTTACTATCTATCACTGCTCATCGTCTTTGTTGGCCCCTGTCTTTGATCTCCTTCTTTTGATTTTTTTTTTTTGTTAAAATGATGTAAATAACCAATTTCTAAAAATTCAGTTGCTTATTATTCAAAAAGAAATATTCAAGAATTTAACCATTCATGATGAAAAACTCAATAATTTATTAAGTTGAAGAATTTCAAAAACTTAAATCATCCAAAATCCAATAGTTCATTGAGTTTTTCTGTATTTTTTAGAGGTGGACTTGGTCAATATCAAGTTTTTTTTCCTCTAATACGGTATACCAACCAATTATAATTGATACATAAGACCTTATACCATGTACCAGTCAACTATATTTCATACCCATTTTTTTAAGTTAAAAATTGTTGTTACTGGTTTTGTACCAATTTTAAGTTAATGTATAAAACCATATCATGTTGTTCAAAATTTGAGTGACATGTTTGAATTTTCAGGCAAAACATGTTATATTTATATGTTTTTAATTGCAAAGAATAAAACTTGTAAACATTCAAGTGTTCAAACAAAATAGTTAAAGTTATAATGTTCAATATTCAATACATAAAAAAAATACTAAAACTAATAAATAATTAAATGTATCGGTGTCATGGTACTACAGTAGTATAAAGGTGCTCAAAAACCCGAACAACCCGATCAACTCAAGCAAAACCTAACTCGACGCAAAATAACCCAACATGAAACAACCTGTATTTAATCGGGATGTAAAATCTTCAAACCTAGGTGAGGATGAAAAAAATTTATGAGTAGAGAAAATATATTCAAGATCAGATGAATATTTTAATGTACAAAGTATCAACTCGATTAACCCGGTCAATCCTTGACTTGGGTTGAGTTGGTTGCACTGTGCTTTAGGTTGAGATTTTTCAAGTCGTGAACATTGAGTTGGTTATTCAAATATCTTCAACCTGATCAACTCAACTTATGAATACCTCTACTGTGGTGCACGACTTTCAAAACAATGTACCAACCAAATATACATATTTTACACAATATTATCAAGTGACTGTAATTGATACTAATTTAATTGGTACAGTTGATACACATAGCAAAATTCCGAGAAGAATCAAAAGATTTAGAAAATAATATGAAAAAGAACATCTTATAGAATATACCTTTGTCAAATTGTGCCATTTAATTAGCAACTTGTAGTTCTAACACAACCCATGTTTTCATTTCACACGCAATCTTTCCTTCTCCTCCAAAAACCAAAACCATGTTGGAATCCACTCAAAATCTCCATTTCTTATATATAATTAAAAAAGAAAACCGACAAAATTATAAATTTTACCCTCTTTCTCTTCTTCACCAACGCTACTTCGCCTCCATTTCTTGATAAATTACGCAACAACTCTGAATCAGAATCTTGGTTTTCAAGGTAATTTTGTTCTGTTTTCCTTAACTATCAATCGTTGTTACCTGTTGTTTGACCAGGATTTGTTGGATTTTTATCTCCCAATTATTCAATTTCGTATTCGTCTTTGCAAATTGGGAACATGGTTCTCGATTTTGATTTTCAAGAATGTTAAAATCTGGTTTGTTTGGATTCGATTAATCGTTTCGTTTGATGGGTTTCATTGATTTTTTGTGGGTTTTTAACCGTGATTTTGAAATCTCGATGCTAATTGTAATTGGAATTGTATCACGACGAACACAGACAGACTGAAATATATATACACACACTTATATATATATATATATATGTATATATTCTGGGTGTAAATCTACTCAAGTTTTTACAACGATCTTATAATGTGATTTGATGATAGTTGTGTGATTAATTAGGGAATTGGGGTGTGCATTGTGATAGTGATTTTGTTCTTGAAGGATTCTGGTTAGATTCCTCAAATTTTGCAAAATTATAACTTGGGATTTCTGTTCCAATTTCTCGATTCATTTCATAATCTATTCAGGATAATATATTAGCAAAGACCTTTTATTTGCTGTTTGTGCTGTAAATTCTTGGTCCAATGCACAATTGGGGATTTGTTCAAGTGTTCTAGAGTTTGTTTACGATAACTTGGAGCTACTGAATTCGAATCTTAACTTGTGTTTTTGTTTTTAAATTGGCGAGTGGCCGAAGTTTTCACCTGGTGTTTGCTTACCGTCGTAAAGGTTTCATTGTTTTTGGGTGGAAGGTATTTGTCCAAAAGAGTGCCTTTGAGGAGAGAAGGAGGTTTTGACATATATATAAACACACACACACACACATATATATATATATATAGGAGATATGGTACAAGTCTAGCTGATGTGAGACTCTAACATGCCAATCCAACGGAGGCTAGACGGGCATAGGTTGTCTCAATGTGTCGAGAGGGGGTTAGACGGGTGAGGGGCTAGACGAATATTGTTTGCCCAAGAGTGTCATGTCACTAGAGTGGTAGACTTCTAGTCTTCTACTATGATACCATGCGAGAATATGTGGAATCCAATTAGATTACTCTTCAAAAGATCCCTTGAGGAGATACTGTAGGTTCTAACATATATTGAAAAGAAAATGTTCGAAGTCTGGCCAACGTGAGACTCTAACATGCCCCCTCCAAAGGAGGCTAGACGGGTACAGGTTTTCAGTGTCGTGAGGGCGACGAGTGAGGGGTTAGACGAGCACAGATTGCTCAAGGTGTTCAGTCCCTAGAGTGGTAGATCTTTCCTCTGATACCATGTGGGAATATGTGGAACCATATTAGATTACTCTCTAAAAGATCCGTTGAGGAGAGAAAGGAGGTTCTAACATGTATTGAGGAGAACTGGTCTAAGTCCAGCCGATATGAGACTCTAACATGCCCCTTCCAACAGAGGCTAGACGACCACATAGTGTTGAGAGGGGTCAGAAGGTGAGGGGCTAGACAAACGCATATTGCTCAAGCGTGCCGAGTCCTTAGAGTGGTAAACCTCTGCTCTGATACCATGACAGAATATGTGGAACCCCATTAGATTACTCTTCAAAAGAACCCTTATCAGAGAAAAGAGGTTCTAACATATATTGAAAAGAAATGCTCTAAGTCTAGTCGATCTGACACTCTAACGCTAATGCTAAGCCTCATGCCAATGTGGGGTTTTTAAATGTGATTCTTACAAGTTAGTAGGAGATCTTTTTAGTTATTAACATGGTTTGATTCCAGGCGTACACAACAATTTTGGCCACTGACTTTATCAGGGTTGATTTCTTGTTGTCACAATTTTCCAGGATTAGCACCCTTAAAAAAACAATGGAATTTCTTAGGTGATGTTTGTTTCTTTTGTTTCTCTTTACCTAATGGTTTCTTGCTCTTTCATGGAGTTTTACATTTTCCTACCTAATTGCAGTTACATTTTCTTCTTGTTAGTTCTATTTTCGACTATAAGCCCGTTCAATCTAGACATCAATCTTGGTTCATATCACTTCATATCATAACTACGATATATTGTAGCTCAAAGATGCATTGCATTCTTTGGGGTTGTATGTTTTCCATTAAGTCCTGTATGAATAAAGTTGTCTGTATAGATCCGGAAGGTTTTTGTTTTGAAGAGTTTTTTCATAGATGGGAGGAGCGTGCTTTTTAATTGGGAGGGACGGATTTGAAAAAAAAACTTGTCTTTCTGCATAAAGCTCCCGTAAGCCGACTTTCTATATTATTAAGCCACTACCAAACAATCTTGTATAGCTGACCGAATAAGTTGTGAGTTCCATGAAGCTCATTAAGCTGTAACAAACAGGCCCTTTGATTGCTTGCGATTGTGGCTCAGATATATATGAAATCCAAGTTTCTTGAATACAACATGAAAATGAACCGGTTTGTTTGATAATTTGTTCCGGTGATGGAATCAAATATCATTAGCGTCTGAGCTTCATTAGCATCTCGGATTGATGTCGTTTTGTTATTACTGAAAACTTAATCCCGTTCTCTCACTTCCATTCCATTCATCTGTTCTACGAGCAGTCGTGTTTTTTGCTTATTCATTATGAATAAGGTTCAAGATGTAGAACTGAAGGTTTTCTTTGTTTCTGGTTCTTTGCAGGTTGCTTATAGTATTCACTGTGAATGTCGGTTCTCATCGATGGTCTCCCTGATGCCGTTGCTATCAGATGTCTAGCGCGGGTCCCGTACTACCTTCACCCGAAACTAGAAGTCGTTTGTCGTTTGTGGCGGGATGCGGCCCGCAGCACCGAGCTATACAAAGCCCGTGAAGAGGTCAAGTCGACCGAAGAGTTCTTATGTGTGTGCGCGTTTGACCCAGAAAACGTGTGGCAGCTCTACGATCCGAATCGTGACATTTGGATTACACTTCCAATACTTCCTTCGAAAGTTAGGAACTTGGCCCACTTTGGCGTTGTTTCAACTGCCGGAAAGTTGTTCGTTCTCGGTGGCGGTAGTGATGCGGTTGATCCGTTGACCGGTGATCAAGACGGGAGCTTTGCAACGAACGAGGTCTGGGCGTATGATCCGATTGTCCGGCGGTGGGCACCACGGGCTGCCATGATTGTTCCTCGTGCAATGTTTGCATGCTGCGTGTTGAACGGGAAGATATTGGTGGCCGGCGGTTTCACGACGTGCCGGAAATCGATCTCGAAAGCGGAAATCTACGATCCTGATAAGGATGTTTGGGTATCGATCCCAGATCTTCACCACACCCACAACTCGGCTTGTTCCGGGTTAGTGATTGGGGGCAAGGTGCATGTGGTGCACAAGGGTTTGACCACGGTTCAGGTGTTGCAGAACCTAAAGGAGGGATGGCGGGTTCAGGAGCATTCATGGGTGCATGGTCCGATGACCGTGGTCAAGGGTTCGTTATACGTCATGAGCCATGGGCTCATATACAAACAAGAGCAGGACTCGAGGAGAGTGGTGATTTCGGCTTCCGAATTCAAGAGAAGGATCGGGTGTGCTATGATCGGTTTCCGGGATGATATCTACGTGATTGGAGGCGTGATCGGGCCGGAGGGGTGGAACTGGGATATCAAGAAGATGTCGGGTATCGATGTTTTGACCCTCGGGAGCGAGAGACCCGTGTGGCAGCAAGCGGCTCCGATGACAAGGTGTCGGGGAACGATTCTTGGTTGTGCCGAGCTGAGAATTTAGGTGTCGTCATCTCTCGGTTGTCTTTTTGTTTTCGTCTTGAATAGTTATGTTGTAGGTCTTGACTATCTGAAACCGAAAGTAGCATCTTCTTTAACTGGTTTGATCGTTGTATACCGTATATTTTCCGTAAGTTGATAAGGATCTATCTCGATCTATAAAACGATAAATCATATGTTGTTCTTGTCGATCCTTGACGATTGGGCGATACCAAAGAAATGTACCTAGCGATGAAACCATCAAATCGAACGAAAAGTTATTAGAAATCTACAACCTTGTTTAGGTTCACGTGAGAAAAGTACGAGAATCGTAAGAATCAGTATATTTATTTATTTATTTATCATCGAACCTCCGAATAGCGGGACCAAAAGCGGGTTCAAGTGCCTGAAGAGCGTATTTACCAAAACAAATATGATTACCTCGATAAGATATTCCCTTCATTCTTCCTCTATGTTGGTGTGCGGATGACTTGACCCGCAACTTAGGTCTCTCCCATGTCTTTTATTTAGGGGTCATTTACCAAATGCTTATCCGCGTAAATGTTTACCAAGTCACATTACCTCACTAGATGAATATGGTAAGGACCAAAAATCTTACCCGGTAAGAGCGAGACAATGACCAAGAGTCTTACCCGGTAAGTGAAGGTGACGACTCTTACCACGGTAAGCGCTTACTGGGTAAATGGTTGCATGCGATGTCGTTTTGGTGGACTAAAATCTTACCATTAAGTAAATAATAGTGTTGAATTTTACAGATAAGTAAAGTATCTGGTAAACGGCTTCTTAGTATCACATGTTGTGTATCATATGTGATGGACTACACTATCACATGTGAATGAATATAGTGAAAGAGTGTTTATACACGTAAAAAAGTATCACACTGTTAACCGAATATATATGAACAAATATATTATGAAACAAATATATCTTAATCAATACATTAAATACTAGAAATTATATATGAAAAAAATTAAAAATTAATTTAAAAAGTCCAAATATATAAGCATGATACGTGAAACACTAATACAAGGAATTAAGAAAAGCATTATTTCCCATTACCAATTACGTGATCCCTCCTACAAGTTTTGTTTTATATTTTTATTTTTATTTTTTTAGAATTTTTAAAAGAAAATTAAATGAAATTAAAATATTAAAATATTAAAATGATAAATGTTGATGTAAATGGTGGTCACAACGATTGACAAAGGCCTTTAAGAAGTTGTGGTATTCGATTTTTATGGGATGTTATTAAATTTGTTGTAGATTTTATATAAAAAAATATTGTTTCGTACCACATCACTCGTCACATTAATATGGTAACCGATTAATACTTCAATTGGTTACCCGGGTATTTAAATGTTTAAAATTTTACATCTTAGATACCAAAATGAAAGTTTCAAAAGTACGTTATCCAAAATAGTAATCAAGTTAAAGTATATTACTTTTTCATGCAATTTACCCAAATAAAATAACTACATAATTTTTTTGAATTCAAGAAAAAGTCCAAATCGAATCCCTCACACAATGAAATGGGATTGACAGCTGGGCCAATCCACAAAAGGCATTTACCCAAGTTTGTGGTCCGTCAAGACCTTTCCACGAAAGTCGTGGGTCGGCATCTACTCACAAATCAAAAGGTATATTCCATGCCATCATTGTTATCGATTAATCTGTTCCGTATCAAAGATGTTCAACATTCTTTAAAGTTCTGCATATCAAAAGCAGTTATAAATCGACCAGTGAAGATAATGCCTATAGAAAAAAGAATCTGTTTCATCAAGATATGTACTACTGAAGAGTTATCCGATGAAATCATTAAACAAGATTTATTTATCGTAGATATAAGTTCCTGACCATGACGAAGTACAGGAACCAACTGCCAAAAGAAAGAACGTAAAGTAAAAGACGTAGGAATTTATGTATGACCAGTTTTCCACACGATTTTGTCTTAAATACGCACATTAGTTAAAGTAAAAGCTCGGCAAATGAAACCCACGTTGCAACTCTACCTTAAAACATAGATCATTATCTACTACTCAGTTAGACACTCAGGAGTTAAGATGAATCCCGATTGTATATCTACTTCAGATGATTGACTGAGTACTAGTTATGTATCGGTGCAATTCAATGAGTTGTACAAATTTTACTGTAAATTGAGAATTAAATATTTAGTGGTACTTTTCAACTAAAAAATATAGAAATTTACGTTTAAATAAAATAGAAAGTAAAAGCAGTTGTTGAACATGACTTGTTAATTTGAAGACTCGATTAAAAACCCGAAAAAATATATCGATAATTACATTGATTTAAAAATTATAAAATTCTCGTTTTTTTTGGCATAATTTGTTTAAAATCAAAATTTTATTATTATTTATTATTTATAAAAATGCAATTTCTTTTAGTTTTAATGATGAAAAAACTAGCCCTTCAACTTTTTGATTCTTTAGATGCTATTGAATTAGTCATGTATATTTAATATTTCATAAATGTTGTATTTTTTTAAAAATTTAAATTTTAGGGGTTGTATGTTTACATCTTAATAGTTTTATTAAGAGACAACATCTGAATTGGTAAGAGGAGAATCTTGTTTGACAAAAAAAATTGTCTCTTAGGGAGTGTTTGGGATTGCTTATAAAAGTTGTTTTTTAACTTATTTCAGTCTGGCACCGGTGATAAGCTGTTTTTTGGTGTTTGGATAAGAAAAATACTGCTTATACCGGTGTCAAACCGGTAATAAGCTGTTTTTGATAAGTTAATCTTTTTTGACTTATGAAAAACTGTTTATTAGCAGTTTACAATTTTAACCCTGTTTTATTTAACTCTGGTTTGATACCACATAAGTTAATAAGCACTTTTACAAAAAAACATAAGTTGTTTTAAATAAGCAATCCCAAACACCCCTTTAATAGTTCTAAAACTCTTTGAATGATTTTGTATCTTGGGTCTCCCTTAACCATTCAACACCCTAATTTCATTATGAATAATTATCAAACAATTATATTTCATTTTCCACTGTATTATAAGAGGCTCTTAATCATTTTATATCAAACCATTCAGCAACTACCAAACAGTCTCTTACTTTATTGTTTAGTAAGATAGAACAGAAAATGAAATAAATGATGATGAACATAAATTTTTTTTATAAATCCAATAATTCATGTAAATTTACAAATTAGTTTTCATATATTGGTTCATATATGAAATATTACATGTTAAAATGTAGTTTTTATAGTGTTTGTTTCATATGTGAAACTTTAATAATTGTTTTTTTATACACAAAACAATCATGAATGTTTCACATATGAAACAACATTGTATAAATATATAGGCTTAATCAAATGACAACTAGATAGTTTGTGGTAAACTATGAGGTCCAATAGAAGCCAATCATGTTAGATAATTCATGTAATTTACTAAAATAAAACAAAATGTAAATTAGTAAATTGTGTTGATTATTCAATTTACTTTAATTAATTTAATTATTTTAATATATGTATACACACACACACACAGAGAGACATACAAGGACCAAGCCCGGTGGCCTTCTCCGGCACCCACCACCACTTCGGTGACCTTCTCTAGTCATCTTGTCTGACCAAGACACTGTCTCTCATGATCGACTACTAAACACCCACCTGTGAGCATTCCCGACAACTAGCTTCATCTTTGTCCCTATGATCCCCTCACTACCTATCTCCCTTCCCCGCCACAGTTGGTATCACAGTGGCACCACAACAGGTATCACAGTGGTCTCAAAGTTTTCTTGGTGTATCACATTGTATTTATTTTGGGCATCACATTGTGTATTTGGTTTATTTTGGGTATCACATGATATTTGTCGAAAGTTGAAGGTAGGGGAGAGAGAGAGGGGAGAAATAAAAAAATTAAAATACCTAAAATGTTCTTTAATTATAATTTTAAGTCAAATTATCAAAAATATTAGTTTCTTAATTTATCCATTAATGTGTGGTTGAGATTGGATCTCACAGTTATCACAAATTAATCACTTCTTTCCTTAATGGACCCTTATATATATATATATATATATATATATAATTTAATATGTAAAATAATAATTAAAATTTGATTGTAAATAATTATGCGTATGATACAGCTTCGTAGTTGTTCATTCGTCTTTCATTTCATTAACCTTTAAAAGAAAAAAACATTAAAAAAAAAAAAAGATGAAGCATTAAATTTGTTGATAATAAATTTAATATTTAATTAATTAACATTTAATTAAGTAACATAGGGATCTACGATGGTTTATGGTAGCGGCTTAATCTTATCCTAAACCTTTTACAGGAATGTTAGTCATACATGGCAAACAATTTTTTACATCAAAGTCTTATTATACCTGTTTATGTTTATGGGTGGGACGACCCGTTAGATCCGACCCGTTAGAAACGCGGACTTGGATAACTATTATCGGCGAAAAATAAACGAGTCCGGGTTTATTCGTTAAAATCAACGGTCGGACATGGGAAATGTAAAAATAAATATGGATAGGCTCTTCCAGCCCGTTTATATTTTATAACTAATATTTTTTTATTATTATTTAAAATTATACTGGTATATTTTAAAATTAAATTATTAAAGTTATAGGATGAGACTTTTCAGTTAAAGAATTATGAAGGTTCTTGATCAAAACTTGAGATGTTTGAAATTGGCAGTAGCATGATGGAGCCATGAAAATATGAATATTAATGTTATACATAAAAAAATAGGAATGCATTATTGATTTTATGGAAGTCTAAATTTTGTTTTTCATTTCTTTATCCATTTGTTGAGATTCATTTTGTTACATTAGTTGCTAAATTTTTTTAATTGCAACGTTGTTTTTCCTTTACTTTTTGGTTCCACATTTGTTAAATAATTGTTAGTGATCGAGTATATATATTTATAAGAATTACACCTTTTAGGCCCGTTGGCAAGACCGGCTCGTTTACAGGGCGGGAATGCTAAGTTGTCAAACTCGAAAAAAGAGGTTGGGTTTACAATATTAGGCCGTTGAACAAAAAAAAAAGTCAAGTCCGGCCCGAACTCGGCCAAGGCTCGCCAAAAGATGATTATCGGTTCAAGCACGTAAGGTGA